TTTCCTTCCATCCCTCTGGCAAGAAATATTTATTGCATAACCTGCTATAGCACCCCAAAATTCACCACCAGCTATCATTTTGTTTTTCAGCTTTTTTGAAATAAAAGATTTATTAATTTAAATATCAGTATCTCTTACAGGAATGTTATAATAGTCGGAAAATAAGGGGCATGGTGTCGGAGGACCGGAGCTAAGTGACATAAAGGAAAAGCCACATTTGTTTAAAAGAAAGCAAAATGTTGAAGATAAACCTCACACACCTACCTGAGGCTTGGTGCTAAATAAAAGTGGAATGAATATTGCAAGTGTGGTAATCCACATGGATTTTATATCTAGGCATCTTAAACCTGACTTTTCAATTCCCACTGGGATGAGAACAAAGCTATTTCATTCTCCTGGAAGTCCTTCCACCTCTCCTCTGTCTCTCTCAAAATCATTCCTTCATGCTGCAGGGTGAAGCAGAGACAGAGGAGGAGTATTCACCACTCTGAATTCAGGGCTCAAATCATTATTCAGAGTAGTTCCACATATTGTGTGCCTGATCTAAGCATGTTCTTTACACGTTATGTTTCATTCAGTCCCTACAGCAATCCTGTGTGGTAAGCAACACTTTCATTTTCCCCATGAGAGAAGCGAGACAGGCTAACGCTGTGAAAGTTGCAGATACTATGATGAAATCACTTTTTTGTCAGGCCCAAACACACTAAAGCAAAAAGCCAAAAGGAGGAGTTCATGCTGGCAAGGCTGAGATAAAGACTGCCTCAAGGACTTGCTAAAATAACCCCACAAGAAATTCTTTCTTTAGAACTACTGCAATTCAGATAAGATGTTCTCAAAATAACACCGGTTCAGTAATGGCCTCTGCAGCCGTTACTGGACAGGTATGTCCGGCAATGTAATTAAATTGTCATTTAATTATAGTGGCAATTAATTGATGCCAAATCTGGCTCTGAGTGTCTGAAACCAATAAACTCTGTTTCCAAGCAGCTTACATGAACTTGCCCCTGTGCCAGTAAAACTTCCCTTTACACTTCCTGCTGCAGATGTATATGTGGCTTGCCTTAACTGTGTGGCTTGGGTCATTATCTTCATTTCTACTTCCCAGATACATCCAACATATTTGAATGTATTTTCTTTGTTGTTGTTTTCCGGGGTGAACAACCCATTGATTTTCTGAAGGTTGCACAGCTAATAAGTGGTGGCATTGAGGTTGAAACCATGATAGCTTGTCCACCAAAGTCCATGTCTTTTCATATTGAGTTCCAGGAAATCACCATGATCAACAGTTTTCCCTGATTGGAAGATCATGCTTCAGTTGGTGATCTGAAGTATGTCTTAACCTTGCTATTCTTGCCACTTTCATCTTCCACCCTCCAAAATCCAAGTTAGGCTTCTTATTGGGCCAGGTTGATTTGCTCTCTGATTTATTCTGTATTTGTATTTATTGCTTTATTATGAGAAGAGGTTGAAAAAAAAAATCACGATCATAGCCATCCTTGGAGGAAAAAAAAAAAAAAAAAGCTTAAGTGTTAAAATTCTGTGAGCATTCAAAGGTATTTTTGACATATCAGAAGTCGTCTTTTTGACATAGAAGAAAACTGTCTAGACACTGAAGTCTTTACAAGAAATTATGAAGAATGGGAGGAAAAAGATGTTTTACAGAAATAAATGAAAAATCTGACTGGCTATGCATTAAGAATGGTAATGCAATACTAATAGGCCCTGCTGTACAAAGTCATTTTTAAGTCAGCTGCTTTGTTTAATGTTCAAATTTCCATTTAAATCAATAGCACTTTGCTTTCTTCAGTAGAAGGCATTTGCATTCCAGTAAAACACACACACACACAATGGGGATAGAAATGAGTCAGCCACTTCCTATCTAACATTCAAATCCACTTTTCTGAAAACATAATTCAAGCAGTCCAACAATAATTTAATTGGCTGTTCTGTAAATTACAGGGCTGACCACCGTATAAACACCAGAGAAATGTACATGGGTATTAGTCATTAGCTGTCATTTTTCTGATAATCTGAACTTTCCATGTGTATAATCATGAAACACTATATTACACAAGGTAATGAAAAAGTCTGTTTTCTATGCAAACTTCAACTTCTGTCATTTTTATGCACAATATATATCGTAAGTTTATGACTCATGGTTAGCACAAGGTATCTGAAATACAACAATGTATCTAATAGGAGTGCTGATGATAACCTCTGATGAAGGGATGGAACCCTGATATAATAAGTCTATTTGATAAACGGTTAAATGGTGGCAACAAGGGGATCAATATGAATTAGAGGGGGATATGTGGACTGCTGCAGGGCTCTCTTTTAGCTGTGTTTTGTTTCATATGTTTGTTATGGATCAGATAAAAATAACAAAATAGGTTTATCTTATCTGTGATGGCACACAATTGAGATAGTTGAAAATAGAATGAATAACAGAATCAGGATACAAAATATAACATGCCGATGTAACAGTCTGTCTCCAACAATAGGCAATTCAGTTGGGATGACAGTACTGTATTGTTTTTGATATAAACTAATTTAAGACATCAATATGGGGAATACATGGTGAATAATATGGAAAGCTGTACCTGTAAAATACTTGGACATTTTGATTTTAGAGTCATCTCACTGTTTGCCAACAATGTGTAATGCTGCCACAAAAAGCTGCTAAGATTTTTGGTTGCATTAATAGAATTAAAGTATCTGGGTTGAAGGAGGTTTCAGGCATAATTGAAGTCTCCACAAGTTTCTGATCAGAACACATCTTAACCATTAGGTTCATTTTGAATAATGGACTTCTAGAATGATATAGGCAAAATGGAGCTTATTAGAAGATCAAGAATGAAGGCAAAATAACTAAATAACAGGTATAATTGACATCAAGATATTTCAACCTGGAAAAAGAACATTTAGTATGAGACAAAGACCTAATAGATATCTTGAAATATTTAGATATCGGTCAGTTAAAAATTCACAAATGGCAACAAGATGTAGAAGAAGAATCTATGAGTACAAATTCCTTTTTTTGTTTTAGAAATTTTTTTAGAGACTGGGTCTCACTATGTTGCCCAGGCTGGCATGCAGTGGCTATTCACAGGCATGATCATAGTGCACTATAGCCTCCAACTCCTGGGCTCAAGCCATCCTCCTACCTCAGCCTCCCAAGTAGCTGAGACTACAGGCATGTACTACTATGCCCTCAGTAAATCTTTTTACTCTCAATAATTGCATGTTCCCTTCCACTGAAATTTGAAGAAGTATACGTTTCAGAGCAATTGTATCATTATATTTAAGATCTTCAAAACATTTCCTTTGCTCATTCATCTTTCTTATAACCGAAGCCTTTTAAAATGCTCACAACGTGCCATATGTTACTACTGCTTCATGTTGTCTTAAAATACTTATTTTAGCTCTTAGGGACCAGTAAACCAAATAAAATATGTGCATTTAGCTTTCTCTTTTCTTTTATCATAAGCAGGGCCTTCCAAAGGTATTTACTGGTTATAAATGAGAACCTACATGACTTGTGATAATACCCTGATATCCTCTTGAAACAATTACTGTGCTTTCTCAAGGCATTAACTTATGACCATAAATGATTATCATTAAATGAGTATCTTGGGGGGACTTGACAATATAAGGCTTTATGCAAAAATGTGTAATAGGACTAACTTCCCTAAATGTCAGGATCCCACATTCTTTTGATATTTGAAATTAAATATAATGAACATCATGGGCCCTTGAGACTTTCAGTTTAAGATTTTCCTTTAAAAATAATACTATTATTCTCTGAGGACATGAGAATGGTATTACTTTATTTAGTTTAAGCAAACCTAAAATAGAGCAGAGGAAATCATTAAATGAGTGAACATATATTTTTCCTTGTTGCCCATTCATGCCAAAACTTATGTGTCTTGAAAGTACAAAATCACTTACAATGGGGAAAATATCTTTAAAGTGATTAAACTTATCTTCAGAGAGAAATGCCTAGTAGTCTCAATAATTACCCTGGAATAAACTACAATGCTGATGATTGTATTCTGTACTGCAGTCTTATGAACAAGCAAACACGGTGTTTTATAGCTGCATGAGGAAGGAAGTTTACTGAAAGTAGCTATTAATGTGTCCATTTATATCCTGCCTCCCTGAATAGGCTCCAAATCTAGAGCAAATACAGAGTGGGAAATTTCACTCCCAATTTAGCCCTCTCTCCAAACTCCAGAGGAAGCTGCTCAGCTGGCCTCTCATGCAGTTGAAACTGAGCTGGATAAAGTGAGCATGATCAACCACTGGGCCCACAGCCCAAGCACCAGACTGGAAAAAACATGAGAGAGTAGACTGGACAGACTCTACCTCAAATCAGGGCCATTTCAGTGTGAGAAATAAGAGATGCTTTCCCTGGAACTGATATTGGTCAAGATACTGATGGGTCTTCTTTTACTAGTTCCAATTCCGGGGAAAATTCCAGAATCTGAACTAGATCCTTAGTTGTTGTTTCAGTAGGAGTGACATGTACAGTGAATAGCTGTTTGATTGAGATTCTCAGAGCTGCTCCTGACACAAGACAATGAGGCAACGCTTCATACTCAGTCTCCTTGAAATTCAAGTTATTCTGCTTTGCTTTAGCCAAGAGGAAAATGGTAATCATCTGCCAACACTGGCAAGAGTAATTAGGGCTGCTGGAAAAATCTCTTTAAGGAAGTATGCGAATAAGGGTAAAAAAAAAAAATCTTTGTCATTATTTTGGAAACTCTGAATTTCTAGACTGAAATTCTGAGATCCCTAGTTATTTCTTATTCAACCCCATATTTTAATCTTGATGAAACTAAGTTTTAAGTAGATAAGGTATCTTACTGAACATCACACTGCTAAGTTGCAGAGCTGAGACTAGATCTAGCTTATCATCAAATGTGTGGTCTTAGAGAACAGATGGCCAACCAGCCATGATTCAGCACTCATGACAACCCGAAACAGTACCTGAACAGTACCTTTTATGATGGGTGGTGTGTACACACTCTGCTTCCTTTGCTTAGGGGATGCATTCTGAGACTATGGAGAAAGAGAAAAAAGTAAAAGCCTTAGATTTGCATACAAAATACGATGCCATCAGACCTGTGAGGGAAATAAATACTGTGCCATGTTACGAAAAGCTTTCTGATTTCTCCCTGTCATGAAATAGAATCTAATTAATGAGAAATTATATACAGGTTAGTGATATCACAGACTTAAGAGATATATTAAGTCTACTTAATCATAAGATTCCTCATTCACTGCAGCCTTGAAATCATTTTACTTTCCTACCTAATAACATTAATTTATTTTTAAAAAGAAAGAGAAAAAGAGACACCAATCCTTTTCATTTGAGAGAAAAACAGTCTGAGTTCTATGATAAAGTATATTCCAACACAGGGAATAATAGTATCTGTTCGTGGGGTTACTGAGTGATTCAAGGGGGACAATGAGGATCCTTGGAAAGTAAGAGCAGTCTATAGCCATCTTGAATTGACGTGTTCAACTATTACCTCCAGTTACTTGAAATTATAACGTTGAGGTAACATTCTTCATATGTTTAAAAGATAAGTCCTTTCCTAAGAAAACTGCTATGTGACGCTCTTACCTAAGCATTATTGGATCGGGATAAAGTTATTGAAGAAGAGATTCTGCATTTCAAAATGACAAAAATAAGAACTTATTTCAGGATCAAAATACAGATAAGGATACAGAGCTCTATATAATGGATATACATATTATTCATTTAATAAATTATATGGTCTAACCCCCAATTGGAAAATGCCAAAGACTCCATTTTAATAGCATGTTGATTTATGTTTTAATGTGGCAAGGGTACAGGTCTTAATCAATGAGTTTTCGCATCTGGGGCAATTACTTTTGCTTTGAAAAGCTCAAGTGTAAATAGTTACAACACACTTTTTGAAGATTGTTCCAGGCTTGCTATGCACATTAGGAAGAACATAATGTACAAGGTTTGAAAGAAACTAGAAACTGTTTTACAAAGTTGTAAACAGAGCTTGAGGCATCTTTCCTTGTGCCTACTAAAGATTAACTGCCCTCAAAGGTATCATCAAGATGTTGTTTATCTGATGCAGAAGCAATCAACTGAAAACTAAAACTTTCAACAAAACAGTTACCAAATCCATATCAGATGAGCAAATAGTATAAGCAAATTTCTCCAGAATAGAGTTTTGTGATACCCACATACTATGCACAAGTATAGACAGGGTGACTCTACATTAATGTTAAATGTGTGGATGATTGACATTTCTGGGGCACTTATACTGTTTCAGTCACATCTGGCTGGTTTTGAGAAGCAATCACTTCAGGAATTTTTAATGTTTACTTCCACACACATATTTAAAGATCAAATAGAAAATCAACTCTACAGAAATTTTTTGTTGTTGTTGTTTAGTAACACAGTGTAAACTTACTAATAAAAACTACTTTGTATTTATGTAAGAGTTTAGTTTTCAAAGCATTTCCACTTTCACTATCTCACAAAATTTTCAGAAAAGTCTTGTGATACATTATTTGATATTTTGCCCATTCTACATTTTTCTCTTTAAGTATTGCTGTATGCCTACTCCTGCGATCAAGGGATTAGTAACTCTGTACAGCATCCTATTCAATATTCATTTCATTTCTGGGAACTAGTTTATTCACTTTGTGTTTCATACATTCTTTGTTATATACTCTCCTAACCTCTCCTGGTTCCTATTTTCTATATAAACTCCTACACATGTACGTGGGGGGAATAGTGAGTGACAGTGTTCAGACAGCCTGCTGAATTTAAATCTGAGTACATTTCTAGGTGAACCCCTTGGATCTGGTTACTCAGGCTTTGGAGGACTTCAGTCCCCCTAGACTCTGGCCTCAGACTTTTGGTTCCACATACCAGAAGACCCTTTAAGAGGTGTCATCCCTCCACCCTCATCTCCTTGCTCTGGGATTCCAACATCACGTGGCTTAGCCTGTGGTATGTATATATAATCACTCAATAAATTGAAGTTGTCAATACCATATTTTGCCATTAAAAGTGATGTTTTATTTTAAAAGTTTTTTCAGGGGTTAGCATTACATAGGTAGAGAATAAAGGTAACCGAGAGGCAGAGATTTTAATGACACTGTATTACTGTTTATTCAGTCAGAAGGAGCAATCTAAAGTTTTATTACAGTTGTATCATATTATTTATATCACATCAAATCGAGCAAATTTTTGCATTTTAATTGATTTGAACACATTTATACAAAAATATTTTTAAAAACTTACTTCCCCTTGTGTGTTGGGCACCCTCTTGTCATCTATTTCTGTAAGAGAAATAGGTATAATGTATTAGGCATGTAATATTCTTTCTTGTAATGCATATATTAACATTTTCAACAACACAGATAAAAATGTTTTAATAATTGCCTTATACAGAAACTATAGCTTACAGCTAGGAAGGAGAGGAGGACAGAGGTGAGTGGTTTCCTTCTGATATAACCTTCTCCCAAAGGTTTCAAAAAGGTATAGAAAAAGCTTTCTTCTTGACATCCCAGATTTCTCACCTTTCAGCAGTTCAGAAAGGGGGCCAGGGAAGTGACTCTTGGAACAAAGTTAGGTGTCATCAGCCTTACACTTCAGGTGTCAGCAACCTCCTCTCCTCATTGATTGTGCTGCTGCTGCTGCTGCTATCCATTAATGAGAGTCTTTGTCAAATTTCCTCAAGTTTGTCACTACCCAAATCAAATCTCCTTTTCCACTCAGTCCAATCACTATGACTACAAGGAAGGCAGTACCCTCTCTAGATATGTATCTGGAAAGAACTAATTGCTCCATCAAATATTTCTTATGACAGTGCTTGGGTGGCTTCTTATGATTGTGCTGTGTATGAAGGGTTGTGCGGAGTGGTGAGGTGGAGGAAGAGATGCTTACACATGCCCCTTCCACAGCAGGAAGATGTTCTGGGCTGGGTTTCTTTTTCACTTTGTCACCTACATTGTATGGCATCTGCCTCTTGACCTAGTTCCCCTTTCCTGATCCTTATGCTAGGCCCAAGGCTCAAAGACTAACCCCATGATCCAAAAACTGAATGAGAAGTTCATCAAAGAATATCTGCTTAAAGACAATGATGTAGATCTGTATTGACATGAAAATATATGCCATGTAAGTGAAAAATATTTCAAAACTAAATGAATGGTATTTTTATTTAATAAAGGATAGATATATGTAGATAGAGTGATACATATATGCATAGAAGACTACCCAATATGTTAACTGTAGTTATCCTGAGGTGACTGAATAACATATTCTGTTTTATCCCTAACTGTACTGCTTTTCTTTTTATAATGAGCATGTATTACTTTTATAACAAAAAGCAGTATATATGTATATATGTGGATATATATACACACAAATATATACATATATGTAGTATAATTTCTCTATAAATCCAACCATGCATGAAGTTGGTATTTCATATAGTAAGAGAACAAACTGACTAAACAGCTAGAATGGGAATAGTATATGGAACCATTGTTTATTCTAATCTGATATCTTGGTTACTAAATGTTAAAAAGTTATGGAAACTTCTGATAAATTGTACTTTCTTTATATAAGGGAGGACAGACAGTTTAGTGTGGCAATCACAAGTGTCTGATGCAATAACTGTAAGTATGTGGGGCATTTTCAGGCAGCTATGAATATATTAAATTGAACAATCCTGTCTGCAACATTTTTTTGCTATCACAAAATATCAAATATGATCTACTGTAACAATGTGGTACTGTGATCCATTGGATTATTAAATACCAGTGGGGTTTCTTAATATTTTGCTTTTGATTAGGAATTTACAAAATCCAACCCAGGACCTATAACTTTATGTTTTAGAAACACAATGGGATCTGATCATTCAGATTTTTACTTTTCCTACTGTCTCACTACAACACCCACTAAACCAGTGTTTTCCCAAGGCAACTATGAGGGCTTCACTTATTAAATATTTCAATGAAAAAACGTTTGTTCTGTTGTTGCTGTTGAGTTATGCTTATTAAATTATCTATGTTGCGAAGGCAAGGATTAAAAAAATCAGTCTTATATTCTTGTCTTGAAATTGAAAAGTGAAAATTAAATAACTCACTTTTCAGGTAACATTGACTCAGACAAAAGTACAAGGGAAGCCAACAACAGATCATAGTTTTCTTGAGATTCACTGATTTAAATGTATTTCTATTTTTCTTAATAGATTGTTACTAAATTGGGGAGGTTAATGTTTTCTGCTTCCCAAGAAGCTCATATAGACACACATGCATGCACACACACACCGTGCACATCAGCACATGCAATGGGACCACAGACCACCACAAATACAGTTTCTCTCTAATTTGTACCAAGAAGGTTATAACCAAAGGAGAAGACTCCCAAAATATATGCAAGTCTTGCCAGCTCTTTACATAAAAACATAAAAATGTCCTCAATAATATCTCCTTTCTTTTTCCTCAGGGCCTCAAATTCTGACCCCATTGGCAGTCTCAGAAGTCTTTAGGAAACTGGATAGCACATGAAACATAAGAATATACCCCTGTCTTCAAATATTGTTTAGCTCTCTCATCAAACCAGAAAAAAAAATACTATTTTGGAGTAGGGTTGAACAAAATCAGTTTGTTAGCAGATTATCCATTATCAAAAAATATAAATTTTCTGAAAGAGGCTTTTGTAGCTACTCCAGCCATATCTTGTCTATATTTCTCCATTTCTCAAGGACCACTTAGTCTGAAAGAAGAAATTTCTTGGTTTGGAAGGAAAATGTAAAACTCATTTAAGTAAAACATTTTAAGAAATGTTGTCATCATTAAAGATGAAGATAGAAACAGAAATTTCTGTTTTGAGTATTGATTAGTTAGAATACTCTTAGGATATTTAAATTCATGAAAGGAACAGGACAATGAGAATGCATGTGGATACACACATAAACTATAAACACCCAGCGTCTCCTTGTCTTAGTCAATGATATCTCATTCAATTTTGGAAAACTAGTTGTAATAAAAAATTAAGTGCCTACAAAAATGAAGTGTAAGAGCAAAGGAAACACGAAGAACATTGTCAAAAAAACAAGGAAAAGTCAACTATAATAGAATGAGAACTGTAAGTACTAAGAAATGGGCAGAATGCACAGACAGAACACTAAGGAAAACCTAAAGAGCCATGGTTGAGGCTGGCAGAAAAATCTGTCTTGGAGAAAGCACTGGAGAGCATACATGATATCTAATACTGTTTCTTCCATTTGTCTGTCATGACCACACTTAAGCCAAGTAAAATTCCTGAAATACAGAGTTTTCCTCATGTGTGAAATGGAAAAGAGGAGGAATAATAATTCTGACTCTGCCTTCCTCGTTTTCTCATAGTTTGTTTTGAGGAATAAAAAAATGAAAAAATGAGAGCACAATTTCCCACTCCTTAAGTACAGACTATAACTTCCTTCCAAAGAGTGCAGTATGGAAAAGGAGCAGGAGGAAATGAGTCTCTTTATGGTGGGGAAACTTAATTCTGCCAGGTGACCAAGGTCAACACAAGTCATAATTTGTGTTGATCCCTTGATACGATGCTATGAAGGTGGGACTTTATATCAATGATCCTCCTCCTCAAACCACTTAAGCCCAGTCTAGTCATGAGAAAAGCATCAGATAAATTCCAAGACAAGGGCATTGTACAAGATTGCTGACCAGTACTCTTCAAAACTGTCAAGGTCATGAAAAACAAGAAAAGTCTGAGAAATTGTCATAGCCAAGAGGAGCCTAAGGAGACATGATAATTACATGTAATGAGGTACCCTAGATGGGATTCTGGAACAGAAAAAAGGGCATTATAAAATTGTCTCAATAAACTATGGATTTCAATTAATAAAAAATACCTCATTATTGGGTTATTAATTGTTAACAAATAGTAATGACTTAGAATATTAAGAATAGGAAAACTATGTGTGAGGAAGGTGCTACATGGGACTCAATGTGCCCTCTGTTTAATTTTTCTGTAAATCTAAAACTCTTTAAAAATTAAGCCCATTAATAAAAACATGAAAAATAAAAAAAATCACTAAATACAAATAAGTAACCCTAAGAGTACATTTTTTTCTTACTGTCAGAATTCTGTGTGTATTTTGAAGAGCAACAGAGAGTGATGATTAGAAAGTAGGCAATGTAACTAAAAACAAGGTCATGAAAATATCATTTTAAATTATTACATAGGGCCAATTAAACAGATACAAGGAAAGGCAAGAGTGAGCTTACAAAGAGAATATTTCAAAGTTTAGTTGAAGTTGTTGAAAGCTGATGCAAGTAAAAATGTGTTAGAGGAAAAAATGAGGAGTTAAACAATTTTCAAATAAGTCCATAATAATGGGAGCACTTTTCCTTGATTTATTTACTGACTGAATGTGGGGAGATAATGGAACAAAGTATAAAATAAAATACCACTAGTATCTGTTTGATTATACATATCCCCCAGCTTGCTGCTTCTGTGCATTTATCCCCCATATCCAGAAAACTCCTGCCTTCATACCAAATACTACTATCCCTCAGAGTTCTGTTCAAATGGCATTTCCTCTGAGAAATCTTTCCCAATTCCTGTCTCCCCTATGCTCAATTGGAACTCATCTCTTCCCCAACCAACACCCACAGCACTTCCTTTACTCCTGTCTCATAGAACTCATCACCATATACCCTATATCATGTCCATTAGTGTTTTTATCTCCCCAGGCAACCTGTAAAAGAATGAGGATTATCCTCCATGTTTGACTTTTCCACACCTCTAAGCACAATAGCAAAGCTGGCACACAATAACAACCTGTCAAATAAATTTATCTCAATGCCTGTGTTTCATAAAACCAGACCATCTGTTTGCTGTTTCTCTGTATTCCAAATTACAATAGTAGTGCAATTATTTGCTCACAGTAGGTGCTAAATAAATACTTTTAACAATTTTTAAGTGTTCAGTTTGCAAACTTTTTAAGGCAGAATCCATCACTTCCATTTTTAAAAATCATTTTACTAGGTTCAAATGCTACAGACACTCAAATTCTTATAAATATTGCCTAAGTAGCTCAAAGGGAATCTTAGAGGAAAAATAAGGATGTATGAATTCCCTCCGTTGGTTTCTAGAGATTGGGAAGATATCTATTTCAAGGACAATATGTATAAGACAAATTAAAAATAAGTGGTAGGCAAGGTCAAATCAGATATATAATTTTATAGAAACTAGCCTTAGACAATAACTAAAACCATGGAAATGAATAATTTATTCAGGATATTGGCTGCTAAAGAGCACTGACCCA